ATTATTCATAATTTATATAATTAATCTCGCCTTGTCGATGTTCTCACTTCTCTCGTGTGGTCTAAAGTACACACCTTAGCTTTTTATTTGTAAAAACAATTGAGTGTTCAGAATGTTAATAAAACAGCAAAACTAATATATATTTAACAATTACAATTGCAGTATTTTCCTGTCTTGGAAAAAATCTTCACACGGATGTATACATAACCACTTTTTCTCGGTCACCATTACAATAAAAAAAACATAATAAATAAAATATTTAAACCGATTTTCCACAATTTCCATTGATAAAAATCATTCTTGACATTTTTTCTGTCAAAGTTTGAAGAAATGTTGCTTATACTATTATTTCCGGCACACCTCTTACTAATTTTCTCTCTTTTTTCGATAATATGGAGTGAACGACAGTTCCTTGAAAATCGTTCACAAAAAAAAAAAAAAAACATTCCTCCGTGAATTTATTTTTTATTTTTTTTTTACTCTTCAGACATTTATTTGTTAAATAAAAGGTACTAATTTTGCTACTCTTTCGACCATGTTGGTTGCTAACAGGTTATCCACAGTGTTTCAATTAAGGTATAGAACAGATAGCACCAGGCAGCGTCACTATTGCACTAGGGGTACAGTGACTTAATAACTTTTATAATTATTAAAATAAATAATAAATATAAATAAATAATAAATAGAATGTTTAATAATTGTTGTCGATGTAGGAGGAATAGTCTTGTCAGCTCTTGTCCACTCCATCTTACGTTCATTACAAATAAATATCAAAATACAACCTTTAGGTATATTATTATGTTATTTAGGAATATTACGCCCCTATTCTGTCTAATTTCCTCCGGAAATAATAGACTATTAGCACTCTATCGAGCGTCATCACATAATTTTTAGAGATGTCAGTTGAAATAATTGAATTTTGTAAAAACGCCTGTTTTTACATAATAAAGAAAGGTTCTGAAGTCTATAATAAACATTTTTAAACTGAACATAAACAAGTTCTCTTAAAATTAATTACAATATTTCTTCCAATAAACAAAACAGTTAGAACACTTACTTTTAAAAATTTTCATTTTTTACAATTTTAACTTTTTATTTTATTTTAACTTTTTTTGTTTTATTTACTTATTATTTATCGTTATTAACACTTTTTATTTTGGTCATCCTAAATTAAAATAAGTTCGTTAACTTACTTTTTTTTTTAATTTGTGATACTTTATCTATAATTATATTTTACAGAATATAATTATTCTTTCATAATTTTATAATTATATTTTACAGAATATAATTATTCTTAAACTTTCTTAATTACTTCCAGAAGAATTTGCAATTCAACTAGATCTCAAGTCTTCAAGAAAAAGTTAAAACCAGAAAAAACTTAAGTTAACCAGCTTCTTTCATTTAGGATTTAAAAAAAAAATCATTAAAAACGATAAATCTTAAAGTTGAATGAAAATTTAGATTCACAACCCCACTATGTACTTCGGAACGAAATTTTATTTAACCCAATTATCATCCTAAAAGTCAACAATTTGTTGATAGAATACATACATTTTCTATTTTCGATTATCTTATTTTGTTTCGTAATTATCAAATTTTCTTCAAGAGGATGTGGCGTTAGCTAAAATTTGAATAAGATTTTTCCTTAATCCAAATAAAATAGTGGCAATTTTAAGTTTTACACGTGCTACCATTTGGGAAAATCCGGACAATATTACTACTGCTTACTGTCATGAAGTTTTTTCCCGGGCCGGGGAATTATGCTGAGTTAAAAGTCCCATTGTCTCCGGGAGTTGAAATCTTTATTAGTTTTCTATCTCAAAATTTGGTTACCAGGTTGCAGGGAAACACGTGGTGCTGTGCAAACGCGTTAATCCCCTAGGGCACCCCGTCCCCTCAGCAGGGGATCTACCCTGCCCTACCCTAGACTTATTTTTCCAAGTTTTTTTTTCTTTGGTTTAAGTTTCGTAGCGAATGGGATAGCTTCGCCTTAAGGCTGTATTGCTTCAAGTTCTTTTGGGTCGTTTTCTGTAAATGCGTCGGCAATCCGTTTACATTATACGTTAGTGTTTTGCAGATATTTGCGGATGTGTCGTAGTCGAGTCCATTGCCACCGACCGAGAACCTGGATGGAAAGTTTACCTTTTTTTTTTTTTTTTTTTTTTTTTTTTTTTTTTTTTTTTTTTTTTTTTTTTTTTTTTTTTTTTTTTTTTTCCTATCTCGCCTTTTAGGCTATACGGGAGGTACGTTTGTACATCAAAATATTTTTAAGTGAAAACTTCTTTGGGCGCGTTTTGTACTTTTTTTTTGTAGGGAATGAATGAAACTGAGCCGTCAGGCTCGGCTGTGTAACGCTCATTCGGGTAAATTCGGCTCGAGTCGATTAATTGAAGTGTTTTTTTTATATGGTTAAAAATATCTCAGAAACTAAGAATCGGATTTGCATACTGTAAGCGAAGGAAATGTGGCAGCATTTCATCCTCTTGTAACTTTATATGACGCAGGATTAGAAAGGCGAATATTTATTAAGTAATAACATTATTTTAACACGTGGCCGTGTTTGAGAAGCTAAAAGAGAAAACGATAGAGCAAAAAAAAACCAAACAAGAATGATTATTTTGAACATTTATTCTAAAATATCTCAATATTTGAATACCATGGATAATTCAGAAACTGATTTGCGAAAGTCAATATACATTTTTTATTAATCAGCCATAAAAATAAGAATTAAGAACTCATGTTTTTCTATTCGATTTTCTGTTGCACTTTGTAGTATTGACAAATTACTGATCCACTTCACAAAAGTTATATTGACAAAAAGACGGATTTTTATTATTGAATAAATTATTATGATGATTTTTTTTTTTTTTTTTATTTTTTTTTTTATTGTTCTTCCCTACCTCGCGCTTTTTAGGCTATACGGGATTTTCCCGGGCCGGGGAATTTAAAATCCCCTCCGGCACCGGGACGCGAACTCGTACTTTTTATATCATCTCAAATCTCTGTTATCGGGTTGCCAGGCAACTAGCGGTGTTGTGCACACGCTTTAGCCTATTCGGCCACCCCGCCCCCTTTAATGGAAAGTTTACCTGGGTCTGACCCAGTCTTTTCTTTACTGACATTTTTATATTTATAGATATTTTTCCGGGCAGGGAATTATGCTGAGTTAAAAGTCCCATTGGATTCCGGGAAAGGGAATGGTACTGCATTAGTGTTTTGCAGATATTTGGGGTTGTACCTGACTTGAGTCCGTTAGGGTTTATTGCCACCCACCCAGAACCAGCAAGTTCAGGTGGGTCACTAAGGTTACCTGCTTCTGACCCAGTCTTGCCTTTGCTGACATTTTAGTAATTTTTCTATTTATTAATATTAAATATATTTTAACCCTAGCTTCTACAATACATAGCAATATTGAAAGCTTTTTCCCCTTAATTAAGGGTACACACTTTATAGAGGCTGAGTGTGTCCAGGAGGGTCTTCTGATCATAGGGTAACCTCACGTTAGATGAAACAGAGTAAATAATTTTTCTGCCATAAGCTGAGATTCGAACCTGAGGCCCCAATCATTTATATATATATAAATGATTTAAAAAAGAGTTTTCAGACTAAAGCTCCCAAAATTAAATCCGCTACTGCTTCAGTAGGTAAAGTTTTTTAGGATCTGTGCAGATTCATGCTGTTTTTACATAACCAAGATCTCCTTTCAATAGCGGGTGTTTTTTTTTTTTTAATCTAACGTCAATTTCTCTGAAAGATAAATAAATTATAAAAAAAAATTTAACGTGGATCCCGAAAGCTCTTAGGTATAATGTTTTTCTTTACAGGAAATGAATATATTAAAAAAAAAAGTTTTAAAAAGACTCTCCCTCTTCCCTCCCCCTTGCAAATCTACCAGTGCAGCTTCTAAATGTATGCACATAACAAGAAGAAATATATCTCTAAAAGCATTATTTTTACTGTAATTACTTTTTTTTTCTCTCTCCAAATACCACATGAACAGGGTTTCCACTTGAGTCAAAAAATACCCTTTTTAGGGAAATTCCAAAGTTTCTAGGGGGGGAGGGGGAGGGAGAGGTAGAGGAAATAGTTCTAAAAGGGTAAAATCTCCTTTTTATACAACTCTGGCTTAATCTAAGTATCATATTTAATCTATCTATTCTAAGGGGGCGGGGTGGCCGAATGGGCTAAAGCGTGTGCACTTCAGTGTGAGTTCCCTGGCAACCAGATAAGATTAAAAAAGTATGAGTTCGCATCCCGGTGCCGGAGGGGATTTTAAATTCCCCGCCCTCACCCTCCGGCCCAGGAAAATCCCGTATAGTCTAAAAGGCAGGGTAGGGAAGAACAAAAAAAAAAATCTATCTATTCAACTATCATATCACAAGTAGATGATCTGTATGTCATATCGATGTTACCATTGTTGTAGCATGACAAATAGAAATGAACTTATTTCTATTATTATAGCAGTAGGTTTTACTCACTGATGCCAGATTAAGCTCAGTTCTTTCTTAAATTAGATAGTTTCTCCATAAAATTAAATAATTATTGTATTTTTTATGGAAATATGGAAATAATAAATATTTGTTGTTTATTTAATAGGGCAATTTCAATTATAAGAGTATGTGTATAGAAAAACAAAATAGGAAGATTATAAAATAAACTATATTGTATTAATAAATAATCAAAGGCATATAACCACAGAAAGAAAAAAAATAAAGATATTTACAATTCTAATGTTAACTGATTCACTCTTCTTACAACAAACATGTAATAGATGATTTTTAAATAATTGATTTAGCAGATAAATAATCGGAAGAATTAACTAACAATTTTCTATATTCTATACCAAACAAAATGTGTACTAAGAATTTTAATGAGCAATTAGAAACACTCAGAAAAAGTTTAAGGATAAAACAGTTGTTGTTATATTCTAATTAACATAGGTAGTTTCTGAAAATATAACAAACAAAAAGTAATCACAAGAAACTTAATATAAAATTTAGGCAGCCTCATATAATAATTCTAATTTCTTCTTAATTACTTGTACAGTCACAGTATCTCTGCTTTAATAATTCTAACTTAAAATAATTAAGAATTATTTCTCACTTAAAGTAGGAATGGCCACAACTATTATAACTTTGATGAGATTTATTAATAACAGCCTTTGTATATTTATTTAAAAAAAAAATGTATTTACAAAACAATTTTTGTAAAAAATAAATAATTATAATAAATTATTTCCCATCCCTTTTCCTCTTTTCTTTGTTAGCTCTCAATTTCCTTCTTTCACTAGCAGACTTTCGTAAGCCCTTCATTTTACGGGTCTGTAATCTGTGTATATTTTGTTTTCCAACATGTACACGTCCAAGTTTCGAGCCAAAAACATCCTTAGTAACATTTTTAACTTTCTTAGCCTGAAACAGAAAAGTAATGAGGGTGAAATGATTTTATTATTATAATTCTTATCAATGCTTACAATAATTTTAAATCAATACTTAAATAACATATTTATTGATAAATATATCAAATTAAGCAATAAATTATATTAAATTCAACTAAATAGTGTAAATAAATCCAAAAGAATGTTATTGCAACTGCAGAGAAGTACGAAAGTCAGTGATAAATTTTACAAAGTTTTTAAAATTTATACCTATACCTACCTATAGCCTACCCGTCACGATAAGTTGGCCTGTCGCCGTTCACTCGGTCATTTAGATCTAATAATAAGAAGTCGAGCCAAGGTTAATGAAAGTATGCTTTTAAATATTCGATATTCATCTAAGTCGCTTTCTAAGTCTTCTTTTATCCTTTAACCTTCAAATGAAAGAGCGAGCAGTTTCTCTCCATACAGCAGGATGTAATTAGTTATCGCACCTGTTTTACGTACCAGTGCTCAACACTGGTCATTTCAGGCATCTTTCCTGCCGTTGACAGGCAGATGTCACAGATATCTTAGACAGAACGTACATTCATTAAAGACTACTTAGATACTTTACAGGGAGCTGAAAATTTGTCTATGTCAGATTCTTCTAAAAGAAAGAAGCCAATGACAAACAACTTGTCATTTGTCAACACCCTGTAATGAACGAAGTATTGGAGAATCTGGTGATCACGAGCCTTCGACCAGTCGTATCAAAATCGAGCCATCCGTGGCAATATGAATCCACTAAAGGTAAGGAACCATAAATTTCATACAGAGAGTACGCCAGTACGCAGAAGAAAAGGCTGAAAGATATGTTATGCTTCTCCTGTTCGACACATACTCCACCTTAGATATCGTGTGGTAGCCAGGCCTACACCTACAGCTGCAGAAGTAAAAAAACCCACCAACTTGTATGCCTTAGTGGCAAGCTATATGCAGGACAGGACATTAAAGTTTAAAACTTAGAAATTAAAATAATTATAAGTTAGATAGATACCATCGAAAATTCATTAGGTAGTGGTATTTCCTAATATTTTTATTTTTAATGTGTTCTGTTACCTTCCAGGAGTTGCATGCTTCCTCTACAATCCAGCTGTTCGTTTCTTAACTCTAAGCTAAGTTTAGAAACTTGCCCAATCCAAGGAACCGACGAGCCATCGGCGATTTAATCGATAACAAAGATACACGTTGATTTTCATCAATAATTTCCATCGATAAGTTTAAGAACGGTCTGATAGATTTTCGGTGAGCTCAGCTTTCTTTTCATAGAATCTTACCCAAAAAGGGGCGAAACTACCTTGCTAGTTAAAGAGTAAAGGGTTCTGGCTACCAATACAATAGTCAAACTGAGTTACAGTCCCCAGTAAAATAAACATAGATAAACCCACTGTATATTCATCAGTTTAATAAACCCCATTATTATATCATTGAATTCAGTTCGTGTAAGCATCTTTTTTTTAATTTATTTAATTTTTTTTTTTTTTTAACGCCCTACCTCGCCTTTTCTACAGGGAAGAGAGAGGGAGGGGGTTGTTCTAGAAATAAAACCAAACCTATTTGAACCCAAGTGGGACAGTCAAGATTCTTTCCGCTGTTCTGCCTGTGGCTAGACTAAAAAATGCTGAAGTTTATTTATGCTTTAAAACACTCGGCCATCACGCCTTCCAATTTGTGTGAACATGATGTTTTGATCTCAGAGACTTATTAAATGATGTGTTAATTGATCAAACTTATTCTGGAACTAACATAATACTGCAGAATAGTATAAGCTGAAGGGGGGACAAAGCATTTCTGAAATGTCCAGGTAGAAATAAAAAACACTACACATACAAGTATATGTTTTCTTAAATTAGACCTATAGATAGGGTGTGAAGAATAAAAATTAATGAAGAAATGTAAAGAGTATGAAATAATAAATTATAAATTAGATACACACCTTAAGTTCTTTGGGAACTTTACAAGCCAGTTTAAAGAGCTCTTCTGAAGCTAACTTTTTTCGGCGTATCACAAAGTCTATTGATGGTCCAAGTTCTTCAAGTTCAATGCGTGGAATTTTACATCCAGATTTTTTCAATAAAATTCTGTAATAATAGATTGACAATAGATAAAGTTATATATAGAGCAAATAAAAAGTAAAATCAGTAAAACTGTTTTACTGTATTGTGCAGTATTAATACTACCAACATCTGTTCTCTTTTTAACTTCTTATTTTGATCTGGAAGTCAATTTTATCTTCCTGAATGAGTAATACAAATACCAGTTATAGATAGATAAAACATTAAAAGTAAAACTAATATTAAACCTAGATCGCTTATAAAATATGTTGGTGATTTGCAAGTGAAGTTTCAATAATTTTCATAGAAATATCATATTTACCCAAGTTAATTTTTTAAAGAAAGAATTTGCATAATTTGGTAGAATAATTCAGTTTAACCAAACAAGGTATCAAAATACTAAATATTTTTTGTATTTCTAGTAATTAAATATAAGACAAAATAACTATCACAAAATCTATTTTTTTGTTAATTTGATAGAATGTATTACTGGATCAAATAGGATTGTAGATAAAATACTATTTTAAAAAATTACCTATAACTTCTCATTAAAAGCTCGTCCTGAGTTGCAGTAAACATTATGACATGTTCAAGCCCTTGTAAACGAATATTAGTAGCGTCTTCTCTTTGGAAGAAGTCCACTAACATATTTTGAATTCTCTTCAAGTCACTATCTTGTTCAAAAAGAGGTCCAGAAAATATTAAACAAGGTTTCAAACCAGTTGTGATCTTTTCTGTTTTAAATTCAGATATTCCACGATAATTTTTAATGCCAAGTTCAACCATATCCAATATGGAATGATCATACATACGACCTGCAAAATTATTTTTAAAATACATAGATAAGTTCCACAGTATATAAGACAAACAAACCAATTTATGTATATATTTAAAGTGTTTAAACTTACATAAAATTAAATTATTAGGCCTTTTCTTATTATGGGACCCAAAGAAGACTAATGAAGTGTCATGTTTTTTACATAACCGTTCAATCTCAGAAGAACTTTCAAAGGGTAAGAAATCATTTTTCTCACCAAGCTTAATGGCATCAGGTTTCTTGAAATGATACTAAAAAAAATTTTTTTTAATGTAAATGTAAAAAACAACAAAAAAAAATTTGGAACAATCACAAAAATAAATAAATTAAAAGTTTAGATGCAATAATAAAATAAAATTAAAATTAAAAGGACATATAGTTTTGTAAAATAAATAAATAAAAACATTGAAAATATAATTTCATTTAAAAAATATATGACAATTTTTTTTTCATATAAATTCTCAGTCTTATTGGCCTCTTCTTTTTTCACATTTGTGGTAATTTTCAAGTTTCCATAAAAATATTTTTAGGTTCCATATATTACGAATTTTGAGAGCTTGATTGAATCCTTTATTTGTGTGATTTATTTTATTGTTAATTTATTTTATTATTATTAAATTGTTAATTATTAATTAGTTTTCCAATATTAAGAGGTTTAACGGGACCACATTCCCTTATACTTTTTGTGAGGAAAGTGGGATAGTAACAAATAGAGCAGAATTAAGAGAAAAAAAAGAAGTTTTAAAAATACTTACCAAATCTTTTAGGCAATTATTAATTATTTCACTGCCTTTGCGCCCATGCAAGAACAAACTTTCTTTTTTATTTTCAATTAGTTTGGGTTCCCGGTCCAAAATAAATTTCTTTCCTTTGTGAGTCGTGGGTTTTCTATTAAAAAAAAAAAAATAAATAAATTTTCTTGTTCTTTGATATAAATACTAAAGTCAAAGTTTAGTTTAATTTATTGTGATCAAGTACTTTAATAAGAGCTATAATCTTTTAAAATATTAATATTTGATTAAACATAAAACATAGAGCAAAATAAATACTTATTGCCACTCATCCGGATGATTGGTTATTTATCGGAATGCCCAAAAATTACTTTATATCTAATATGAGAACTCGTACCAAAATATTTCATACCTGGTATATATGGAAAGTTATTCTGCTAAAACCAATAGAAGTTCTATGCTCCCTACTCGCATGAAACAATGGTAAAACAAAATATGATTTGAACTAGAAAAAAATAATCATCTTTTGTGGAATCACTCATACACAAAGGAGTGAACTAGAACCGCTAAAGCTAATTTTATTGAATTTCCATTTCAAAATTTTAATGGAAAAACTATATCGCTTGAACATTATTTAGTAATAAAATTTTATTCACTTTCCATTATATACCAAGTATGAAATATTTTGGTACAAGTCCTCATTTAAGATATAAAGGTTATTTTAATGGTATAGAGATGGTTGACCATGGATTCTTATTTCAGAAGGAATTAATCGGGGGTGCGGTCAAAAAATAACATAATATTATATAATATAGTGGGAGAGGGGTAGCTCAGTGGTAGCGGAATTTCCAATGCTAGAAGGTCCCAGGTTTGAATCGCGGCTTATGGCAGAAAAAATATTTATTGTTTCATTGGCCGTGGGGAGATCCTGGGTAGGTAGACCCTCATGGTGCACACCAAAGTGCGTACCCTTAATCAATGAATACACATGGAATTCATACATTTATTTATTTAATTATTAAAGATATTAATTTCTATTTTTATATTATTAAGAGTTATTCTTAGGGTCTTAATTTTTAAAAACATAAAAATTATGTTTTAATTTCAATAATTGACCTTCAGCAATATAACCTTGGCATAATTTATTTTTTAGTTCAAACTGTTTAATATATTCATTAGTATGAACGAATGAATGTGACAGAATATTAAACTAATTTGGATCTCAAGTAAATAGAATTCTGGAGGTCAGGAAGCCTTTCAGACAAACTTGGTAATATTTGGCATTACATCTATAATTCGGATCAATGTGATCTTGTCCCAAGTGTCATCCAGAACATTTGTGAATTATTACCATAAAAGCACATTTTAAATTATAACATGTGATCAGTTAAAAAGTTACTTAATAGTTCGTGGTACAGACCCCCCTTTTTATAAAATTATTAACACCCCCCTGAAACTTCTGAATAGCTTTATCTCATCGTAACCAACAAATATTTTATTTACGGAAATTCTCGTAATTGGGACGTTTTCAATCTGGAGGAGGGCAAATTCTGTCTACTTAATAAGGTATTCAAAACTCGTAAATACCGTTTGCTTTCCACCTGAATGGTAAGTTAATTTGAGCACAAAATCGAGAAAAAAGATGGTCCTCAAAAATATTGAGCTCTTTGACATAACCTACACTCCCAAATTCTCAAAATAACGAGGTTATATAGGACAAACGGCCCAATATTTTTGTAGGCCACCTTATTTATCAATTTTGTGATCAAGTTATCCTACAAATCAAGTGGCAAGCAAATAAATGTTTACGAGTTTTTAGTAACTAATTAAATAGACAAATTTTGCAACCCTCCTCCAGATTGAAAACGCCCCAATTCCAAGAAAAAGGGTTCTGTACCATGGACTATAACCCAAAATTAAAGTTTTAAAACCTTAACCATTATCTAAAAATGGTGATGAAGTCAGTGGTTTAATACTTGATAAAACTAAAACAGATTTCCTCAAAATTAAAATTGTTTATGCACAAACATGCCCGAAATAAAATGAAAAATCAAATTTCCACCAAAATCATTGATAAACTTATATTCAAATCAACACTAAATAGCTTTGACCACCTATTATAACAAGCAGCCATGGGGCATATTAATTTTCTTAAATATTTAAAAGAATTAAATTTCGATTCATTGAATATACATAAAAACTTACTTTACTCTCAGCATGATGAGATCTTGGTATTAATGTAACAATTTTCGAAACCAAAAACTTTAGTCAGAAACAATAACATCAACAGAGAAGTTTAAGCATGGCGTGGAAGGTTATATAACCTTTGTGGAGGAAGTTTATCTTACTCCCTACAACGAAGCTCACCGATTATCTATTACAACGATATATATTTGAATTTAATGTATAGATTTTATAACAAATTGAGGGTATAGGTCTTATAAATACACTAAGTTATAACATGGTTATTTACTAAAACAAATACTTTTTTTATTTTATTTTTCTTCATTTACAACTGCGAAGTAGTGGAGCAGGATATATCAGTAAGTAGGGTACTGAGCTTCAAAGCTCTAGTAGATCCCAGGTTCGAACACGGCTATTGCAGTTAATTATTTATTCTGTTACATCAACCTTAGATTAACTTTGGGGTTCAGAGACCCTCCTGGGGTACAGGCAGCCTCTATAAGTTGTGTCATCTTAGTTAAATAACTAATTAAGGAGGAAAACCTAGCCTTTGAGTGTGTTCTCAGCCTAATCCCCTCCTTGCATTACCGTTGACAAAGTACTGAATCCAAGAACCTCCATGAATTGTAGTAGTACAAGATTTTTAAGTTGCGGTGCAGCGGCGGGGCTGTGCTCACGCGATAGCCCGCTCGGACTATATTTGAAATTGTGCAGTAGCCCATAAAGCATATATAAAGTAACTGATTAGTTTCTGTGATTTTTCAAGGTGATGTCCTTGATTTAGTTAGTGACAAAACAGCAGATCCCTGGACCATTTTCAATCTTACCTCCATCGAGCATGTTACAGGGAGGGGTAATATTTTTATTTATTTTTTTTATTCGTGCCTACAATTAGTAGGTGAAGTACATTCGTTTAATTTAATAAGATAAAATATTGTGATTGTTTAATTATTTGTGTTAGATCACTCATATAAAAATTCATAAACCAATGAAAAAAAATAAATGGTTTCTGTTTTGGTGAGAGAGGCTTCAGCCCAAGAGCCCCCGCTAATTCTCTTGATTGCATAATTATAAAAACTACTACTAATGATTTGCTTATCTATTTAAAATATTCAGAAGCTTAAAAATATTTTAAATTCAGAAATGAGAGAACCATAATATTTATTGAAAAATTATAATATTGGGATATTATCGGAATGGAAATATCGATCTTTTATCTCCTATCAGTTGTGAAATATCGATGCTGACATCCAATGTTTATTTATGATCTTCTTGTCAACTGTTATCTACAGCGTTGTCAACATTGTGTCATGTCTTGGGATTTCAAGGTTCGCCTGGATGTCTTAGGCAGAGAAGAAATTCGTTTCATTCAAATCCCCAATCATTACCAGAGCAATTATAATTATCTAAGGGAAAAAGTCGCCAGTAGTTTTCCAGTATTAAATCACCACGATTTTTCCATTTACTGGATAGGTAAGAAATATTTCCTCTTTCTTTATACCTCTTAGTTTATGTATATTGTCTTTGCTCTATTTACTATAATATTCTGTCGGTGACAACTCAATATCGAGTATTGGCCTCCTGTACCATCCTCCACCAATTGTTCCTATCCTGTGCAGCCACCATCCAGCTTTTCGCTCCCAACATGTACCTGGCATCATTAGCCACACTGTCACTCCACCGAAGCTGAGGTCTTCCTCTACGCCTTGTTCCGTGCATTACTTCAGTCATGATCTTTTTCGGAATGTGATTCTCAGCCATTCAAGCGACATCCTCAGCCCATCTCAATCTATCAAGCTTCTTGAAATAAACCACGTCTGGTTCTTTAAACAAATCTTTGGAGCTCCTGGTTTGTCCGACGTCTCCATAACTGGTCAATTTTCACAGCACCTAAGATTTTACACAAAATCTCAAAAACCATTACATTCTGCTCATCAGTTTTGGAGATAGTCCATGTTTCTGAGCCAAAAAGGAGTATCGGTCGGATAATTGTTTTATACAATAAGATTTTTGTTCCTCTGGTTAAAGTACGGCCCCTAAAATATGGACTGAGGCCATAATATCAACAATTGGCACATAGCACTTTTCGCTTAATTTCAGAATCCGCAGCACTATCATGAGTTATGGGGATCCGAGATAAATAAATTCCTACACTTTTTCAATGGAGACTTCTCCGAAGGTAATCCTCTCGCCTGGTCTGGCATTGACTTTAAGACCCATTTTAGTCGGACCCAAGCATGTAATTTAAAATCCATAAATTATCCCTGGAGCTAGTTGGTGGCCAGAACCATTAAAAGTGATTCTGTACGGTTAATTGTTTATATTATTGTTCTTAATAACTCATACATATTTTTAAAATTTTACTTGCTCAAGAGATAAACAAAAATAAAAAGAAAAAATATTGACTATTGTTTTAAATGAGTTATAATGTATCATAAATTACAAAAACCAGATAGCGCTTCCAGTAAAGGAGGCCAATCACATTTTTGTTATGAAAAAGCAAGTTAGATTTGTTTAAGTGTCCTTTGAAATTCTTAAATACTAATTTTTATAGAAATAAAAAATTGCAAAATTTAATACTTGATTTGCTTAGAGGATTTTTTTCCTGACCGATAATTAAATCATTCATAACTTCTCAGAACTTTCTCCAAATTCAATGTTAGGACAACCTGGAAAGGTGAATTCTTACCCTTACATCCCACATCGATAACTTTCAGAAGTCATTCCTTTTTAAATTAGAAATTAATAAAAACTTCCCTATCATTTTAATTTTTTATCTTTGGTTCTAATTTGTTTACAGGGCTCTATTTTGTACCATTTCGTGTAGCATATAGTGCTCTAAATCCCTATTAATTTTTTTATGGATTGGAGAAGCCATTATAAAGTTTTGTGGTTATGGAAGAAATTTCGAAGGGTCCTTTAAGAGAAATAAAACATTTTTTGAATTAAATTTACAGTTGCACTATACATAAAATAAATTGAAAATTAATTCATACACCTGCTATGACATTAAAAAAAATAATTATTATACTTTTATATATTAATTAGTTGTTAAATTAATTAAAATTTAAATAATAATAACATGACACGAGGAATTTATATAAAAGCAAATTAAATTTTTATAAAGAGAAAAGAAATAAAAAGATAAAGAAGGATTCCATCTTGAACTACGGACCTTAATAACATGAAGCTAACCTTAATAACCTGCTAGCCACTACTCTAACACTTGTATTATGAGGAAAACTGTTTGTTTTGAAGACAATTTTGTAATATGAGACCCATGGTTTCTTTAATGTTTTAAAAAGGGTGCCACTCACCTCCAAAATTTTCCAAAATCAATAGAAATATGTCAACCTGTGGCCGATCTATCAGATTTCATAGTTTTCTACCTTGATGGATGTCAAAGGAGAAAAAATGGGTGTCAAATGTGGGAAGTGGTCCTTCACTGGATGGATCCGTGATATGATGAGAAACCTGATTTGTCATTCATGAATCCAATGTCATACTGATTTTACTATTTGTCATTTGACATGCGACAAAAGGCGATTCACACTGGAAGCAGTCGAGGATTTTGTCTCTGGGGCGTATTGTAATACATAAAATATAATAATCCTGGACATACTCTATAATAATATAATCGTATACATACAATGAAATGTTTTTCTATATAATGTAGTAGAAACAAAAAATAAAATAAAAATAAATAATCAATTTTGGCCTCAAAAGATATGAAGAACAGAGTTCTAAAGATGAAGAAAATCTGCCCCTTCTTTCCACATAAATGTGCGTTAGGAGACTTCCTCTCAAATAATAAAAATAAAATCTTTTATAACATTGCCGTTGAAGGAAACTGGATGTGTCCTAATTTAGGGTTTGAATAAGGAATATATTTATAAACAATCTTAAAACTCCCAATTTTACTGCACCAAAAAAAAAGAGGTGAAAAGTCATGTGAATTAAAGACAGTTAATATAAAGATGTTAGTATTCAACCTACTGATACCTAATACTCACTTAAGAAAGAAGAAATGTATTTACTCTAGTCAATAATTTGTGAGGGATAAGCTGGACAAACTGTTAGGCATAACATTAATAAGTGAAGTTGCAATAACTAAATCATCCTGTTTTATCTTATTGTACAAGAGCTAAACTAGAATATGACATTTATTTATCACTCGTGAAACAGCCATTTTTCATAAAAAAATTGTTCTAGATGAGGTTGAAATTTGAAAGCAGAAGCTAAATGCTTTATAAAAACATAGAAGAAACAGGTGCTTGCACTCCTTCATTTAATTTTTTTATTTTTAAATCAACCTGAGAATTGCTGTCCTCTATATTTTTAAATAAAATTGGTTGTATCTTTACGTCTCATTATCATAATGTCTGTAATGAAAATAGGCCTAGATTCTTTTGTGATGAAAGGTGATTTGCCTAAGACAGAGGTCTCCAAACCTTTTGTCCTGCGGGCCACATTGAGACAGTAATAGAGACATTAAGACCCATGGACCGGATTGAGATCTCCACCTAAGTCCTGTGGATCACGGCTATAGATCATACTTCAGTTGTGAAGTGAATTTCATAAAAGAAAAAAAAAACATGCAATTAATGTTACATAACGTCTTATATGAGTAATTTGCTAAATTTCATATTTTTATAATAGTTTTTAAAACTTTACTTATATAATCAAAGAAACTTTTGTAAGCCGGATTGGAAGTGCTTGAGGGCCAGATCCGGCCCAAGGGCTTTAGATTATGGAGACTCTTGTTCTAAGATAACATAACTTAATTTAATATAAAAATTAATATCCCTAGAGATTTTGAATTAAATAATAATGAAAGCAAAAATAGGCTTCCGTGGAATGCAATCATTATGGCAGGGTTAAACATTAATTATCTCTCAGAAACAGTTTCTATTAGTTATGTATTTTCGTTATTGTATTTTAATTTTAATTGCATCTTACATTTCTTTGTATCTTATTTAAACAAAAATTAATTTCCATTTTTTCATATGTGGACATTTTATTTTATTTTATGTTTTAAGTATGTACATTTGTTTGACATAATTTATGTTGATAAGTTTTTCTTGTAAATAATGTATTAATTTGATTTAATTAATAATTTATTGAAAATAATAATGGCATTTCAGTTGTATATAAATATGTAGAATATTGTAGTTTACTTTTATCTAATTCATGAATTATATCATTATTTTTTCTTAATGTCAGATGCCGAAGGGGATAAAATAAAAATTAAATCAGATGGTGATCTTATGGTTGCAACAAGGAGACTTACTTTTTGTCCTGTGAGGAAGTTATATGTTACATTAAATACACCACAAGGTAAGTGAGAATTGCTAAAAAAACATTCAAAATATAATCATGCATTTTTTTTCTTGCAAATAGTTTTGTTTTTTATCATTTAAGGTAACATTGAAAGGGATAGCAACGTTTTGTAGTTTGGACTTTTCTAGCCTTTTAATAAATGTTTTACATTGTGTGTTGTTGATTAAGTAATTGACATGCAGTCAGTTATTGATTAAGCAATATTGATCATATTTGTCTTACAAATTTTTCATCAAGACCGTGCCAATTATAATGTTGCCAGTTAGTTATGTACTTATGTATTTATTTATAGTTGGTTTCGCAATCAGTTCACTATGGGCTTCATTCCTACTATGTAAATGTAAATAATAATATTTTTGCAAGGATAGTGTAAAAATATGAAAGCAAAATATATGTAAGAAAGACCTGTTATGAAGGGCTATTGCTTCATGACGAACCGATATTTAACTTGAAAGCTAGAAACACTTTGTATAGAATAATAAAAAAAAATTATTAGTACAAATAAAAATGATAATTATATGTATGTATATATATATATATATATATATATATATATATATATATATAAATATAGACATACATATATATAAATATATATAAATTATATATATATATAATTTATAAATTCAAGAATCTTATATAATAATAATTTTATGGATATCTGTACTCCGAAGGTAAAGAACACCATGTCCATTTTTGTATTTTGTTCAGGGAGCCAATTTGCTATAACTTTGAGCTATTGAAATTTATTTCTTAGTTACTAAATTATTTGATAAAGAAATGGACTTATCTTATTAAGAAAATAGAATTATCTTATATAATTATGATAATTTTACCAAGTATATATATATGGGCTGGGGTAGCCGTGCAGGCTAAGGCGCTTGCAATAGGTAACTAAGTTCAACCCGTCAGTTTACTGGAGGAAACTCACACCGACCAGGCGTAGGACTGATGACCCTACCCCTGTACTTCAGGAATCTCGCGGTAAAAGATCTACAAGGCCTAAAGCGCCAATTGGAAAAAAAAAAATGTATACATATATACACAATGTTTACTTATTGTATATCTTAATAGAAAAATATCTAATTTGTCCATTCACATGACCTTCCTTACAGCTTGGGTGCTAAATTATATTTCAAATAGTATGCAGTACCTTCTCTAATATTGATCCTGTTAAAATTTTATTTGAATTTTTTTTCATATATGATAATTGATATAATTTCTTCTTGTAGATAATCTTACTAACTACCTCAACAGTAATAGAACTGTCGATCATATTATGAGCATGCTAAAAGACAGTAGACCAATCCATACTGGAATACATTGTGATTGGTGCCAGCAAAGTCCTTTGCAGGGCTTCAGGTACAAGTGCTTAGTCTGTCCCGATTACGATTTATGTCTCAATTGTGAAAAGTCTGGAAATATTCACTCACACCACCTTATGGTAAGGCTTCCGGTGCCTTTGAATTCTGTAAGTCAATTTTCTTTTTTTTAAATTTTTACCAAGTAAATATATCATATTTCAAATAAAAGTAATATTTATACAATAGTTTGTTTGTCTAAAATACTTATAAGAATACTATTTTAGGTAAACCGTTCCTGAAAGTGAAGCTGACCTATAAAGAGGAAGAAAATGTGCAATATTCGAAGTGACACGAAGTATTTTGATATTGACAAGTTTATCAATGCATCCGATCGCAGAGAGACGTTGTGATTTTAAAGTATGTTAACAAAACATGAAATAAGTTGTTGTAATTGGAACATTTTAATGTTTTGAAAATATAAAAGTATATTTATTTTTCTACTTAATATTTGATGACATACTTTCAAATAAACCTTTTTTCTGTGCCAAGCGTATAGTAATAGAGAGGGTACATTGGAAATAAACTGAGTGTCGGGGATCAACCTACTGAAGAGGTCTTGTTGTTTTGAACCATTTTCAAGTCTGTGTCTAATTTTCTCTTCAGAAAATTTCATATTTGTCTGTAATTTGGTAAAAAGCAACATGTTATAGCCATTTTTGGCATAGGCATAGTATGCTTCTTCTTAGGGAATAGAATCTTTTGTTTTTGGTCCATATCATACTTGAAAACTATGTTAAGACTGAAAAAGTAAGGGTACTAATTGGACTTAATTGTGAGATTTTTAAAAATTTCTATTCTGCTAAAGATTCTTATAGTATTTTGCCACCATTGTAAATTTATTTTATTTTTGTAAGTATTAAAAAGCCATAAGTATGTAAAAGTTTGAAAATAAAATGAATTTTTATTTAGTTTATTTATTTTTAATCACAGGCCTCCTCAAAGAATGACAAACTCTTGACATAATTTATTTATTTCATTTATAAATGTTTTGGACTCTTTAACCACATGGGTAATCTTACCATAATTATAGAAAGTAAGTGGCAGTATGATAATTCACTTGGTTTTTAAAAATCAAAATTTACAATGGTTTGTAATTAATGATATTCTATCAGAAATTGTTAAATACAAATTAGTTTAATGTTGACAAGTTGTTTAAAACACATCTGAGTGATGGAAATAGCAAAAAATACCTGTTTTTAAATTTAAATGAACCCAAAAACATTACAAAATAAAAATGATGAAAGCAGAAACATGATTTTACTCATATTTAGGAAGCTTTCCTAACTATGAAGGAACATGGCCGCTCTCCTTAAGCATATTCTTTGGCCCAATAAACTCAGTACGTTTCGGTATGTATGTCATCTCCATACCTAGAATTTCTTCCAATGTCTTAGATAAGATCTAAGGTAAGTATGATAAAAATTAAGTTCTCTGCTTAAATTTTTTAATCAGCATCTTACAGTGTCACCATTTATCATGGTTTATTTTGGTAGTTTTTCTTTATACTTGTGTTTGCCCAGTAGTTAAAATTCGACCATAATAATTATTGGAGAAGACCAACCATGTTTCATTACAATTGTTACAGGTGTTTTGTTGCTATAGTCTATAGCAGAAGTCTCCAAACTTTTGCCCCCCCCCCCACATTAAAACCTCCACTAAGTGCCAAGGGCCGCAGTGCGACCTTTGCTAAGTCTTGCAAGCCATCGTGATGAAAAAATTCTTGTTCTATAAATGACACCTTAGTTGTGAAATGAGCTTTCCATGAGAAACAACTCATACAATAAACATTGTAGAAACCTCCTGTATCAGTGATTTACTAAATTTAGTATTTTTAAAAATAGTTTTAACAAATTAGCCTTTAATGATTATCGTATTTTAATTATTGTTAGGTTCTCCTTGATAATGACCTTACAGACTGAAACATTAGAGATGTAAATAAAAAATTGTTAGGATAAAATGATCAAATCAAAGTTTATTAATAAAGAAAAGTTAAGATTATATTAATTTAGGAGAAGGTAGAGTTGGTACATTTTGTTTCTCCTTGCAAATATTCCAAACCTTTCTATAGAAGGATAATGTAAACACAACTTCCCATCAAATATTTCCTTTGATCATCATTAATCAAAACAATTGCACCATTTAAAACAAAATTTCTAAAAAACGAAGAGTAATTTTTAATCATGAATATTCCACATGTATACCAGTTTTAGTAAATATTTTATTATCACAAAATCGAAAACAAATTACATCGACTGGACCTTATATGGCTCTTACAATGACTGATATAAACATCCTATTTGGTTGTAAAGATCTGTCAGTGAAATATTTTCTATAACACTTCGATATTTTTAAATAGGAGTGAATATAAATAAATTCTTTGGTACGTGACCTTACAATATAAATAACTTCTTTTTTCTGTTTATTTATAGTAATAGTTAAACTGAAATATGGGGTTTTAGATTTCTATCGAATATCTCAACTAAATACCAAATGTTTTATTAAGAATGGTCTCTTTGGTATTTATTTTTAATTTGAATGGTGTAAGTTTTTCCGTTGTTCTTTTAATTCCAAATTAAACTGAAACTAGTCTGGATTATTAGCATAAATATTTTGGTCATGGTAATAAATCACAAAGAAGCAGAGAGTTGTGGAAAAACAGGAGATTGTTAGGGGTAGATATTTTAACGAATGGGAGAATAAAAGAAATGTTTAAAATAAAGGTCACATGAAGATCAAATGGAAGCAATGTGTAGAAGAGAGGTGGCGCGAGAGTCAAATTTTCGAAGGCACAAGAGCGAAAAAGAAAAATGGGATAATACAAAGGAGCCCAAGAAACAAGTCTAGAGTAAAAAAAAGCGAAATAATAAAAGATATGCAAGAGCAGTAAACTTTTTTTTTTTCTTTTCTCTGCCTGGCATGTTTGCTATACGAGGTTTCAGAGCCAGTGGGTTAATACGTTGAGGATACGTTCATCTATTGCTGCCAATTAGAACTCTTTATTTATTTACTTTTTTTTTGTATAATTTGCTCTTACAATTTTAATGGCTTTATACTGTGGTGTAGCCTGCTGCATGGATATGCACCTTATTGGTTGCTCGTCCTGCCTTCCTGGGTAGCTTCCTCCAGCAGCTTGATGCTGTCTCTACCAGTCCTCCTCTTTCTGGGCTGCTGGTGGAAGTCTCGCTCCCTATCGTGAAATGAAATGAAAAATATTTTTATTATCCTGGGACTGTTTTCCCTTTAGAACAAAGTATCAATACTGAGGAAATGCCTGTGTGGCAATACATTACATTAAATATTTACAAAATGATATCTAATTGTAAATAAAAATATAGGAAGAAAAAAGAAAGCAAAAGCATACATATATATACAGACCAAACAAAAGAAAATAGAATAACATTAGTAAATAACATGGTTTCTGGAGAATCTTAAGAAATTCTGTTATATACATTTCGTGATCAGTCGGATTGGGAAAGGAGTAGGTGCTTAAAAAGAAGAAATTTAAATTCGGAAACTGATTGTGCATGTCGGATATCGGAAGGGATAGAATTCCCAAAGGAGACGGCTTGAATTGCAAAGAATTTGTCAAACGCAGCAGTTTGATGAGGAGGAGGGTAGAGGTCAGAAGTACAGGATGTTTGTCCTTTACTTTATGTGACGGTCATTATGACGGGACATTATGTGACGGGATTGAATGGAAGATTTGAATTGTAGGCTCTGAAGTATATAAGAGGGCCACTGACTGCTAATGGCCTCGTGTACAAAGGTAGCAAGGAAGTACTTACGGCGGTAGGATGATAGAGCCACTTTAACTTGGCGTAGTACTCAGTAATATGCTTATCCCTTGATATCCCAAAGATAAGGCGTATTGAGCAATTCATTAGGCGTTTAAGTTTGGCTTCGAGTTTTCCTGAGAGTCCACCGTAAACCATAACAATCATAGTCGAAGTGGGGAAAAACAAGAGAGGAAACCAGGGTTTTTTAAGGAAGTTGATAGCGTTGACGGTTGAACTGTTTTAGAGTAGAAAATGGACGACGAGAAATTTGGGAGATTTGTAGTTTTCAGGAGCGGGTTTGATCAAAGATAACATCAATGTTTTTAACGGAAGTTTGGAACGAAATAGAAGAGTTGTTTAGGAGAAGATTGGGAGGTACGGGATTGGATTATATGAGCGCGGGGGATCCGATAAGGATAGCTTTAGTCTTCTCGGCGTTTAGGGTGAGCATGTTGCGGTTTGTCAAAGCGCAGATTTTGTTCATATCTTCCTGAAGTTGTGGGATTGCTGCAGTGGAATCAGCCTGATCGAAGGAAAGATAAATTTGGACGTCATCGGCATAAAGGTGGTATTGACACTGCAGGATAGAGGACGGAAGGTCATTGATATAGATGGAAAAAAGGGTGGGAGATAAGGAAGCCCCCTGGTCAAGGAGAGAGACTCTGATGGGGGATTATTAGGGACTTCAACATACTGGGAGCGACCGATGAGGAAGGATTGGAACCATTTAAGGACATTAGAAGACAAGCATATATTTTTAAGTTTGGTAAGGAGTATATTGTGATCTATAGAGTCAAAGGCTTTGAACAAATCAACGACAATGGTGAGTTTCTGTTGATCTATAGCTGTATAGATCAATTGGGAGATTTTAATGACGGCGGATTAGTCAGGTCTAAAACCGGATTGGTGGTAGTTCAGAAGGTTATTTTGCTCGAGATAGTGGGATAATTGGGATTGAACTAATCGTTCTAGAGGTTTGGAAAGGTTAGATAATAGGGAAATTGGACGGTAATAATTAGATGCAGGTGAATGATGTAGGAAGATGCATTGCCTAGGAAACTTCTCTATAACTCAGGAGGGTCACACCAGCTGCGGTGGATAGACGACTACAATACCTTAGCCGTATAGGTATAAGAAGATGGAGAAGAATAGCTGCCGATAGGGAAGCCTGAATGAATAGCCGATAGCGAATTAATGATAATAAATGTATTCGAAAAACAACTGTAGAAACCTTAAGAAAGGTTTTTAAAATAAACTTGAAACACAAAATTATTGGCTCTAAATTTTGATTAAAGGAAGTTATACACTGCCCTAATTTAAACGTTTCCAGACAAAATGAATTTGTGCTTATATCAGCCATCGTTAATTATGAAATTCTGAGATAATGGATTGGTTCATAGTAAAATGAAACGATGTGACAGCAACAACATCCTGGTGGTTATCGATTAGAATATAGCTTATGATAAAACAGTACTGGGCATCCTTCTTATTATTCAGTGCATTTAACTTCAAGTTGGCATGACGTCTCAAGTTATAACCCGAACAATCGAATCTAATTTAATGTTCCGTGTTTCTTCACTTTTGGGAATATTTCCGTTCAGGATTATTAGTAATGGGATGATGATGGACAAGATTCTACTATTGTATTCTTTAGTAATGTCATTTTTTATTACAATCGGGTTTTCTTATTCCGCGGCAGAGTTAGATTATATTTCATCACTGATTTACAATACGAAAACATTGAACCATATCTTACTTATACTTTTTTATTTGTCCCGTTCTATAATCTTTCTTTCTCTTATATCCAGTTATTATTACCACAGAAAGAAATTTATCAAAACTGTTCGTACTTTGGATAAGTTAGAGAATAGCTTCCATCGAATGAAATTGAAAATAAAAAATAGAAATATTCAAATGATGAGTTTATTTGAAATATTTGCTCCTATTATATGCGGGATAGTTTTCTATATGAGGGGTAACACTTGGGGCAAAATTACGGTTGCGATAAGTTACACTGTAGTGATTTTTGAAATAACTTTAAGTGGTGGCCAATTCATTTTTTTCGTAAATACTGTGACCGATTTCTCTCGATCAAGCATACATTTTCTGTTGGAAACCAAACTTCCATTTCTT